CTGTTAGTCGTGAGTTTCGACGGATCAGTACGAGTCAAACGAGGCGGTGGAGCGTGTAGCGCTATTGTCTGGGAGCTACCTGAATGGATCGTCGTCGCAGCCGAATCGAAGTAGTTGCCCGACCTAACGGCGAATGAGGCGGAGTACAAGGGCCTGTTGTTGGGCTTCGATCTACTCTCCAGCTTGGACCGGGGACGCCTGATCATCTGCGGGGACTCCAACTTGGTGATACGGCGGATGCGAGGCGAGATAGAGTGCAAGGCACCAGGCCTGACTCCTCTTCGCCGACGGGCTCTAGATCGGCTGAGAACATGGCCGGCCCATGAGTTCCTGCATGTCAAGCGAGACTGGAACCAGAGCGCGGACAGGTTAGCCAACACCGCATTACACCAGCAAGAAGGCACAGTAGTTACCTCGGAGGCAGACCACGACGATTTGGTTGTCCTCAACCGACTCCAGAAGCTCCTACTCCCGAAGGACGAAGGGTCTGTCGTCCGGATGGCCGCGACGACTCGATCGCGAACACGCTCGAAGAACTCGGCGGAGGTGCTACAACTAGATGTGGTTCAACGCATCAGGACGGATCGGGTTCTGCGAGCACAGAACGAAGAAAAGTGGATCGTAAACCTCAGGGCGTACCTGTCAGGCGACTTGGAGAGCCTAGATGCTGGCGCTTGCGGTAAAATCGCGGGCGACTACGATGTGGACGAAGGTGGGCTGCTCCTCTACTGCAGCCGTCCGACATCCACGCTGACTAACCGCGAAGCAGATCGCGTAGACTTCGACGAAGGTCTGCTGCCCAAAGAGCTGGGAACTCGAGCTTGAAGAGGACGAGTACGAGGTGGAAAGGATCGCAGATGTGCGCTCGAGCAAGAACACTCGATACGGTCGTACACGACGCGAATTCCTGGTCTTCTGGAAGGGCTACGACGAGCCGTCGTGGGTCGATGAGATCGATCTCAATTGTGGAGCATTGCTAAGAGACTTCGATCGGGGACGGACAGATCGAAACCGTTTCGAGGAGATGCAGTCGCATGAGGAGTAAGCGGTGGAACATCTGCGATGGGCAGGCCATTGCAGAGACGTGAGCGGAAGAAGAACTTGCAGGAAGGCTGCAGGTTTTCGGAGGAGGTGGTGCATATGGAGCGCCGAGGTCCCGAATAGGCCGGAAACCCTAGACAATACACCCTCGAATTCCGGAAGGACAAAAGAAAATGCGGATGGATTAAGTCGAGCTAGATCGGACTGGGGTTTCTCAACGAACACTGAAACCTACAAGTTGCTAGCCAACACATAACGGCAGGACGTAATCAGGAAGAAGTAAGCACGAACTTGCCGGGCAAGCGAGCGATCCCAAGCGCCGGATGG